CACACACACACTATCAGTCAACCACACATACACACACAATCAGTCTACCACACACACAATCAGTCAACCACACATGCACACACAATCAGTCAACCACACATACACAACTATCAGTCAACCACACATACACACACAAACAGTCAACAACACACACAATCAGTCAACCACACACACACTATCAGTCAATCACACATACACACACAATCTGTCAACCACACATACACACACAATCAGTCAACCACATATACACACACAATCAGTCAACCACACATACACACACAATCAGTCAACCACACATACACACACAGTCAGTCAACCACACATACACACAATCAGTCAACCACACATACACACACAATCAGTCAACCACACATACACACACAGTCAACCACACATACACTGACCGACTGCCCCTCGAGCAAGCAAGTCATGTGAGGCGACTGACAATAATTTTACCGAAACTGGATGAATAGAGCCGAAAGGAGAAAAGGATGATGATGAGGATGGTGATGATGAGGAAGAAGAAGAAAAAGGAGAAGAAGCTTGGGGCGAAGGGTCTCGACTGTACTGCCCCAATGTTATCCTATATAGCCCCAATTATCTTCTCAATTTCGCTCGTCCACAGCCTTGCGCAGAGGATGAAACCGTGGCTCAAGCGACCACGCCTCGGGGATGTCGGACACACCTGCCAGGCCACCGGAACGATGAAGTCACTTAACCAAACCCACAACATTCGCAGCGCCCCTCACTTGACCTCTTCCCCCCAAGAAAACCTGCCTCGGAGATGGATACAGCTATATCAATTTTCACCAATAGGACCAGTCGATCTGACCCAGATTTGGCTCACTAAAAGAAAACAAACCCTGACACATACAGCACTGGGAAACGAACTGGATACTGCGGAGTGCATCCGATCTCTCCTAGTTCAGCTGCATTTATCCCACATCGAACAACGCACACTCCTTTACAGTCATAGACAGATCGAGCAAAGCACGCTCCGGTAGGATCACAGATCGTACAACATATGTATGATAACAAACGGAACAACAACAACTTGTGTGCGCCAATCGAACAACAACAACACTGCCAGCCAAAAAAAGTCCGGTCTGCTGTCTGCCAACGCCCAGACAGACAAACTTGAGGTGACCAGCGCGATCCTGCAAGCCTGAGGTCCTGCATGGTGACACGAGACTGCGAGCTGGCGCATCCGGGACGTCACAACGATAACACGCACTTAAAACCCCTCAGCATGGCCTCAGACTACAGAACCCGACCAGTCAACAGATCCGCGATGGCGGTGGGGATTTCCCCCAGCGATGTACAAGGTGTCCCATAAGTTTCCACTTATAAGAAAAATACCACTGTATTTAAAATTAAAAACACATTTCGACGTGTGTCCCCCATTGCCAAAGAACATGTATTGATTCTTTTCGCCTATCATAGACAGGTATAAAACCGAACGAAAAGTAGATCAGCGAGCTTCACAATCTTATCAAACACACGCATAACGTTAACGTTGCGGCTATAGAACCTTCTTCAGCACATACATAAATCAAACAAAACTACACATGAATACACACAAATAAAACGTGAACGTTGCGGCTATAGAGCCTTCTTCAGCACATACATAAATCAAACAAAACTACACATGAATACACACAAATAAAACGTGAACGTTGCGGCTATAGAGCCTTCTTCAGCACATACATAAATCAAACAAAACTACACATGAATACACACAAATAAAACGTGAACGTCGCGCCTATAGAACCTTCTTCAGCACATACATAAATCAAACAAAACATAAACACACACCATTATAATGTAAGACGGGTGTCTTTTTACCCAGAACATAGCAGTTTTAGTGTTGTTGGGTTAGTGTTAATGATGGACGACTAACACTAATCCTAGCTCCACAGTACTACAGAACCTTGCAGGAAACTACCTAGGAATCCCCTACCAGTGTCGAGACCAAGACAAACTCTCTCAAGCAGCTGGTATCAAACCCGGCACTTCGGCATTATTAATCGCGCTGGTGAAACCTAAGCCACAGATGCGGACATGTTGTATATAAGATGTATTTCACTAAACCAGTGGGAATTTCAGTGCTGCACATAATAAGTTCATTAAAACTGTGTGTCAGAGTGTTGTCTATCAATTGTATATTTAATTAAAACAGTGGATAGTTGAGTGTTGCCTATCAATTGTATATTTAATTAAAACAGTGGATAGTTGAGTGTTGTCTATAAATTGTATCTTTAATTAAAACAGTGGACAGCTGAGTGTTGTATATCAGTTGTATTTGATGACAAGAAATGCTTTCAAGTACATACCTTCTGAAGACTGGGAATGAAAGAAGAGGTGCTGAATAAAATAATGTGGTTGTAATGTGCTTTACAGTTAGGCTGTGATATTTGCACCTTTCAGCACAATAAATCCAGTTTAAAAAAATTATAATACTTTCTAACGCTAGCAAGGTCAGGGCTGTGAGAATGCGCAATACTTTTAAAAGTATGAGAGGACAGGTACCTTTCTTGGACGCCTTCGACAGAAGGTGTGCAGCAGAACTACCAACTCTGCTTTTGTGCAGCCTCCATGGGGCACTCAAGAAGAACAGGCATGGAGAACAAAGCCAGCAGGAGTTAAACAATTACAGAAAGTGTGAAAGGCGCCCCACAGGATACAAGAGTTCAAGATTTGTGAAGCAGATGCAAAAAGAGGCTAAATAGGAACATTTTATGAGTTAAACTGGAAGGAATAAATCACTGGACAGGTTTCGGAAACTGCACAAACAGATGCAATGGAAGAAGCGGCCTATCACAACAGGGCTTATATACACTGATAATGATATGCCAAAGACAAGAGACATAGAGAAAGGGGAAGCATATTTGAAAGAGATTTATAGCCCTAACTGATCATAATGACAGAAAGCTTAGAAATTCTGTGAGAGATAATCTATCTAATACTATGAATGATAATTATTTTTTAGTATCATTAGGGTGGAGGATATAAAATATGTATTGCAAAAAGCCGGGGTCAGACGGAGAAGAGCATGAGTGATGAAGACTTGAGATAGATGGCATTTATTTCACTTCAACCAGAGAGTCAGTACCCTAGGAATGGGTACACAGCTACCCGATTCCCCTTCCAAAACCAGGCAAAGATCATTCCAGACTCAGCGGTTTCAAGATTATCACCCTACAAAATACTTTTGGCAAGATGCTAGAGAAGATTATTGCTGTTAAACTACAAATGTTTTTGGAAAGAAAGAGCTGCTGCCAAAAGGTTTGGGTAGTTACTGGCTATGGAAAGATCTTCTTGCGGCTGTTTTGTGGTGCTCTCTGGACAATAGGATTGTAAGAGCTAATGTCCCAAGCCTCACAATTAATTACAGTAACATCAAAAGACAAAGCAAACTGAGGTACCTGGGTATCACTTTTGATAAAAGTCTATCCTTTAGGGATCATGTGGATGCAGTTGCAGTGAAATGCCAAAACGGACCTCATGCTCTCAAGATTATGGCAGCAATGGACATGGAACAAAGAATGCTGTTCACAATGTTCCAGCATGTGATCCTGTCAGTGATAGACTACGGATTTGGCATGCTTACCATATCAAAGAGTCAGTGATGAAACTTGACGCATACAGAATGAAGCCATGCGGGTAATTCTGGGATACACAAGAGATACCCAGGTAGTGTGTGTGTGATATATACTTGCTGTGCCTATTGTTGCAGATAAGTTCAAAGTTCTGCAGGCAAAGTCCGAGAAGCTGCAGACAAGAAGTACCTACTGCATGAAGCCCTGGGTGCAGCTAAAGGTCATAGATTAGAAAGAGGAAAATTTTAGATGGCACAAGCTAAACACACAACTGGACATGTGTGCAAGCTTGATAAATTTAAGCATGGAGAGGAGTGGGTTAAGGTTTCCAGACAAGTTTCAGACTTGTGTAGGGTTCTTATCACTTTAGGTCATGAGTGCAGAGACTGGCCAGCTGGTGCTGCACAATCAGAAGCTCAACAAATCATTCATGACAATTCCCACCCTAGTGATGTGATTATCTATACAAATGGCTCTGTGTTGATGGACTGGCAAAGTACATGGGGGTTCATAGCAAAGGCAAATGGATGTCGCTTAGTGCAGCAAAGCCTTGCATAGGATATCACAACGTTAAGTTTGAGAATGGAGGTGGCTTGAGAATCAGCTGTACACACATGCCGTAATTGTAACTGACTCACAGAGCATGTTGAGAAAGGTGAAGACAGGCATGCTGAGAAAGGTGAAGACAGGCATGCTTCGTGCAGAGTGGCATGCATCACTTCAGAGGTCCCGGGTAGTTAGCATCCTTTGGATATTTTCTCCAGGTCATGTTGGTGTGTTGGGAAATAAGCAGGCAGATAGACTGGCTGGCTCTGCCCCACTTGGAGGTAAACTGATGTATGACAAGTTAGATATTGTGAGGACCCTTTGGGTTTGAGTGAACAGTGTGGAGGTGTAAATAGATCATTATGGTCTAAGGAGAATGGTGCCTGTCGAGGAGTTACCAGGGGATCAGGCCGACGCTCAACACTCAGGGGAAGGATGAGACGGATATACAATCAGATGGTAACTGGTGCCATAGGAATTGGACCTCTTCACTTGCCGCTGAAGATGGGGATGGAGCACTTATGGAAATGTCCCGAGTGCTGTGATGTAGATTCTTAATTCAACATTCAATCAACATTCAATATCCAATTTCAGCAAACCCTTATTTAGTCACAATTTATGACATGCTCCCGCCTTTTACAAGATCCTCGGAATCCACACTGGAATACAATACACTTCACCCTGTCACCCCTCTCAACGAAAATGAGGCCACAATCCCCACACTGGAAGACAGTGTAGATTGAAACAAGTGGAATTCTTGTGGTATGATTGTACAACATTGTAGGGGAAGAACACAACAACTAAAGCAGAGAGTTAGTGTGATCTATAATCTCAGCACTTTACAAATATTCCTACCTGTGACTCCAGCGAGGGCTGTAACTGTCCCCCTGCCGACTGAACATTGAGGAAGTTTGGGATTGCCTGGTCAAGATGGAGTGCTCCCATAGGTCCTGCTGCCAGAGAGTGAGCCATGCTGGGATGACTCAGAGCTGCAGTAATGGTATGCTGCTGCTGCTGCTTCTCCACGCTTGCCATCAGGCCATTCTGGATGCGCTCAATCTGCTCCTGTTCAGACTCCAACAAACTAGACTGTAGAACTGGGTGTGGAGCCCCTCCAAGAATGACTGACTCTGGTATGGATATAGTCGGCACCCCATTGATCTCATCAGGGTCGGGAGGCTGCAGAAGAATGTGCGGCAGGTGACTAATATGAATTCCTGGAACCTGGCCAGTGATAAGGGTGGCAGTCTGACCCCCAATGCTTAGTCCCGTCATTGACTGCTGCATTTGTATGCCCATGATGTCCGACGGATGCAACTGTCCCTGATGTCGTTTCTGAAGCTGGGCAAGGAGATGCTGGTGGTCGGCGAGATTTATTCCCGCGACGCTGATCATTGCTGGGTCTAAAGCTGCCAGAATCTGCTGAACTGAGGTATTAAGTGCCACCTGTGAATGGATGGTAGATCTAGAGTCCACATCTTCAGTGGACTGGCCGGTGAGCTGGACAAGGGTCTGCTGGCCAGACAAGCTGATGGGCTGGGCAGTGACATTCAAAGACGTGATCTGATTGTTCCCAAGTTGCTGCTGGGTGAGCGGAGCAGAAGCCATAACTAAGGTTCGGTGCTCCAGACCTTGTAAATGATGCTGATCCTGCAGCTGCTGCTCTCGCAGCTGGGCCTGCAACAGCCGGTTATGCTCCTCGTGGAGCTGGTACTGAAGCTGCTGTGGATTGAGAGGAGGCAAACCCAGGAGCTTATGCTGGTGACGGATGAGTTCCATCTGTTCGGAGCTCAGCTGGGGCAACTCTGCTTGGTGCTGCTGCTGTCTTTGAAACTCCTCAACCTGAAATTATCCAAGAAATGCAGCTAACATGTAACTAAGCGGAAAATTTCAAACAGACATGTCAATTACCTTCAATAAGCTTCTTCTGCATTTGGCCTTGAGAGGGTGGTTGGTGTGTTCTGTTGTCATTTACACTGGTTTGGCATACTGTGTTGTCATTTACACTGGTTTGGCATGTTGTATTGTCATTTACACTGGTTTGGCATGTTGTATTGTCATTTACACTGGTTTGGCATGTTGTATTGTCATTTACACTGGTTTGGCATGTTGTATTGTCATTTACACTGGTTTGGCATGTTGTATTGTCATTTACACTGGTTTGGCATGTTGTATTGTCATTTACACTGGTTTGGCATGTTGTATTGTCATTTACACTGGTTTGGCATGTTGTATTGTCATTACACTGGTTTGGCATGTTGTATTGTCATTACACTGGTTTGGCATGTTGTATTGTCATTACACTGGTTTGGCATGTTGTATTGTCATTACACTGGTTTGGCATGTTTTTGTCATTTACACTGGTTTGGCATGTTTTTGTCATTTACACTGGTTTGGCATGTTTTTGTCATTTACACTGGTTTGGCATGTTTTTGTCATTTACACTGGTTTCGCATGTTGTGTTATCATTTAGACTGGTTTGGCATGTTGTGTTATCATGTACACTGTTTTGGCATGTTGTGTTTCCATTTTCGCTGTTTTGGCATGTTGTGTTGTAATTCACACTGGCTTGACATGTTGTGTTGCAAGTTAAGTGGTTTGCATGTTGTGTTGTAATTTACATTGGTTTGGCATGTTGTGTTGTAAGTTAAGTGCTTTGGCACGTTGTGCATTAATTTACACAGGTTCAACATGTTATGTTGTAATTAACACCTAGCTGTGATATCTGTGTTTTTTTTTTACCCAACTCATCTAATTTCAGCAAATCCCTAATTAGTTGCCTTTTATGACTGCCTTGATGGGGGGGGGGGGGGGGGGGGGGGGTGCACCATGATTCTATTCCCCCTTCCCCCAAATGGGACTTCAGAACACAGCATATAATATGATTAATAAAAACAGTAAGAGAACCATTTATATATTTCAAATTTCCAGGTTTAACCTGTTAACAACCTGCCACTGACATGTATGTATATTTTCATCAATCAGGAAGTTCTTTAGACAGCATCATTCTCATCCCAGCCCAGCTCTAGCCAGATCTCCAGTCATGTGTACTTTCATAGCCAATGCATCTTTGGTATCTTGTACCCACCTCCCACCTCTGCATTCTTGAATACATGTGCGATCCGTTACCGCAGATTAGGAGACAGCATCTACACAGCACGGACCAAGGCTCACACCTGATGCCTTTCTAAAACCTGACGCTGAAAGGCAATACAGGTCTGGAGAAGAAGGAGAAAGAAAACAGGGAGGAGGAATCATTCTGTTTTGTCTTGGGATGTGGGAGGTGTTATCTGGAAACATACAGTGGATATCATAAACAAATTATGTCTGCTTGAGCCATTGATTTGATTCAAGAACTGACATCACAGCACTTGGGGCATTCCCTTAAGCGCTCCGTCCCCATCTTCAGCAGCCAACAAAGAGTTCCGATACTAATGGTGCCAGTAGCTTTCTGATTAAACGTCCGTCTTGCATTTCCTCTGAGCCTCGAGCATCTGCCAGAACCTCTTGGTACTCCCCCCTTGCATCAATCTCACCAGACTGTGGTGATCCATCTGCTCCTCCGAATTGTACACGCTCTCCCACAAGGCACTAACCATGTCTGCCTTATCATGTATATATATGTATATATCATATGCTTGAGTCAGAAACAGATGAGATAACCTTTGATCATTAAGCTTAGCAAGTAAAAAAACTAACCAGTCACTGGAAAGCTAGGACAACATATAAACAAACAAACCTGCTGAAAACTCTGAACCAGTCGCTGTATGTGCTCCCCCTGGTGAGGCGAAGCTGCTCTTCCAGAGTCCAGGGTCACTGGCACACTGGAACCCTCGTCCAGCAAGTGACCAGACAGCAACTGCTGAGAGACAACAAACTAATTAATGAAATCAGAATAGACAGGATACAAGTTAGGCAATAAAAAATTATTGAAGAATAAAGAATTGCAGAATGTTCTTAAAATTATTCCTGACAATATATATATTCTTAAAATTATTCCTGACAATATATATTTATATCTCTCTCTCTCTGTGTGTGTCTCTCTCTGTCTCTCTCTGTCTGTCTCTCTCTCTCTCTCTCTCTGTGTCTGTCTCTCTCTATGTCTGTGTGTGTCTCTCTCTCTCTCTGTGTCTGTGTGTGTGTGTCTCTCTCTCTATGTCTGTGTGTGTCTCTCTCTCTCTCTCTGTGTCTGTGTCTGTCTCTCTCTCTCTATGTCTGTGTGTGTCTCTCTCTCTCTGTCTGTGTGTGTGTCTCTCTCTCTGTGTCTGTGTGTGTGTCTCTCTCTCTGTGTCTGTGTGTGTCTCTCTCTCTCTCTCTGTGTCTGTCTCTCTCTCTCTCTCTGTGTCTCTCTCTCTCTCTGTGTGTGTGTGTGTGGTGTGTGTGTGAGCGCGCGCGCGCATGCATACGTATGTATGTGTGTCTTAATTACAACCGAAGCTGTCCTTAGCAGGACTGAACATGGTCGACTTCTTATTTTATTTTGTCTCAATTCAAGAATGAAAAAACCAACTGTGCACATGAGTGTGTGATCTATCTATGTGCACGTGATTGTGTGTTCTGTGTGCATGTGTTCTGTGTGCGGTTTTTTTTTTTAAGCAGCCTTCTGAATCAAAAACCCCTTTTGTCATGTAAAGGAACAATATGCAGTCCAGTGCACGCTGGCTGGCACTGGCTATTGTCATACAGCGAAGGCGTAAAGTGCCTTTAATGTTGTCGATCCATAAGTTTTCGTGGTTGTCCTCTTGCTCGGGTAGCTGATCTTCTGAGATGTAGTGCCTGTGAATTTAATGCTGATGCATTCACAGAAGATGGTCCTCTGAATTAAATGGGAAAATGCAACCATGAGTTTTCTCATGGAAAATCCCACCCTTTGCAAAATTGGATATATCCTTCCTGATTGGTATATTTTACGTTTGATGTATCTATACCACATTAAACCTGATGTTTCATGTATCTTACATGTTTTAAGTACTGTCATTTGATGTATCCTACAGCTGGCTTATGATGATAACGACTTCGATTATGACGACGACGATGATCACTGCACATGGGGCATACAAAAAGATGCTTCGTCTCCCGCAGCAAATGTCTTACTCCTTTTGCCCTGAGAAGCAGCAAAACTGACACTTCCCGCTGGGCCAAATTCTCCGTAAGCTATACTACAATTCTTTCACGACTACGTGTACGTCAAGGGCTTTCACATCCTGTTTACAGCCATCTTTATATTGCATCTAATGTCTTCTGGTTGCTCTCTTTCCTGCTGCCATTTCTCCGTAAAGGTGGTGTGTACCTTCTCCTCGACTTACTACCCATGTGACTTGTGATCACATGAAAATTAAAAATATATAAAAGTATAAATAAAGAAAGATGACACTGGTAGGGTCAAAAAGCTGTCAGATGTCACAAAGCTCATATTATATACTTTTTCCACATTAGGGAAAAAAATTATAAGTATATAGGTTGTATTTTTGTGTTTTATGTACACTTTTTATAGCAGTCGCATGCCTTTTTATTTACCCTGCTCCCATAACAACCTTCCTGGAAAACTTCTCGATCACAAGTGAGATATCCGCGTCTGATACATCCATCTGGAGATCATCTGCCACACCCTGCACCTATCTTCTCCATGGCCTTCCCCTTCCTCTCTTATCAGGCATATACCCCTCCATTATTGTTCTCTCTAAACTTTGGTGACCTTTCAAGTGACCAAAATATTTTAATTTTCTGTGTTTTATTGTCTTTAATAGCCAACCTTCTTCAATATTCACTTCTTGAAGTATGGATGCATTTTTACTTTTCTTTACCCAAGATATTCTTAGAACCCATCTACAACATTTGTAATAAAGGTATTTATGTGCTGTTCAGCTTGTTTAGTAATTGTCCAGGTCTCACAGGCGTATGCTGCAATGGGAAAGATGCATGCTCTAAGAAAACTAATTTTTGTAGTTCTGTCTGTCGCACTCCAAAATTTATTCAGTTGTTTTAGTCTTTCATGGCTGCTATGGTTTCTTGACAAGTTTTGCAGAAGGTAGTTTGCCAGTGCTTTCTTTCTGGGCAGTGACTGTATTAGTCGGTGGCCCTAGCTATTGTCTCTGTTGATGAGATCATAGTCTATCCATGCAGAGTGCATGACCATAAGCAACAACAGTCTGTCGGCTGCTCTCACTCTATCCATCATCTGCTTCCATGGCTTTATGTAACCCTGACTGGGGGGCTAAACAGGTACGCCACCTTGCCCAAGGGTGTCCCGTAGACTTACCGAGGAAAGGAGGCATCATACATCTCCTTTGATAGGGGATACCCCTACCTCGCTAACAGTTACACTTTGTATAACACGTCTAAATTAAAATAGTGTTGAAAATACAAATTTGACGTCTAGGTCAACTTACAACCAGTTAGTCAGGACAGAACTCAACCAGTTAGTCGGGACAGAAATCATCCAGTTAGTCAGAACAGAGCTCAACCATTAGTCGGGACAGAGCTCAACCATTAGTCGGGACAGAGCTCAACCAGTTAGTCAGGACATAATTCAACCGCTTAGTGGGACATAACTGAACCGGTTAGTCGGGACAGAGCTCAACCAGTAAGTCGGGACAGAACTAGTTTGTATGTGGAGGAGACTCTGTACACACAAAAAGGTATTCTATAATCTAATGGAAATATTACCTGCAAGTTTTGCTGACTATGTTCCTGCATCTGCTGCTGCTGCTGTTGTTGCTGCTGCTGTTGTTGTTGCTGCTGCTGCTGTTGGTGTTGTTTGATGTGCTCCTCTAGGAGCCTCATCTGCTCTTGGTTGGACTGCATCTGCTGCTGCTGCTGTTGTTGCTGCTGCTGCTGCGATGTCTGCAGGTTTTTCTGCTGGCGTTGCTGCAGCTCTCCGGACATCCTCCTCTTGAGGATGTGGGAGGACAGCTGCTCCTGGAGGTGTTTGTGTTTCTGCTGGGGCAGGACTGAATTCACTAGCGAGGCATCTGTCTTCATCAGGAACTGGTGACAAGTCAAACAAGAATGTCAGTCCATGTGAGTACATCTCTTTGTGACGTCAACTCAACATTACTGTCTGACATACAAGTCTAGCTTAAATTATTATTTCACTATACAGAGCTGGACTTGACATTTTACATGTACAGGCAACCAGGTTACATTTCTTATGGGGAGGTTTAATATACCTGTCCCAAAAAACAGAAACAAATCAATATGCCGTTCTACAGACCATAACCAAAATAATATGGGTATCTTACAGTACAAAACCAAATGTATGGGTGCATGAGGGTCACACGAGGATTCAGAGCAGCGTGCTTAGTACAGTCGCCATGAAATGTTACAGGTTAGAATGTTTATCCCCACCATACACACACAGAAACAACTTTAACTACTTTACCAAGGGTCCAAACCAGGATCTACTGAAAGGGTACCCAGAGTTCTAACCAATTCCACCAGCGGCTCCTTAGGTACCAAAGGCTCAAATGAAAACTTTAAAAGTGTGGTCAAAATTACAACAGCCGTGCCACGTCTTGAAACATGTCAATATTATTTTTTATGAGATCAAGAAGAGTTTTAATAGGTTTCCTAGCCAATTTCGCTAGCCAATTTCAATAACATTACAAGGTTTTTTCTAGGTATTTTTGCTTTGTTCAAGGGTGTACCAGGCAAATGATGTACTTCATTTAATGGTGCTTTTACATCTTTTCTAGCCTTGGTGGCAAAGGGGTGCAAACGGAGAGGATTTTCTTTTCTTCTTTTGTCGTCTCACTGATACCAGGTTGTAGTTTGGTGTCATGGTTATCTGCATTTGTCTTGCGCTTCTCGTGTGCCTTGAATGATGGATTTGTTCATCTTCTCTGATACACATGATCCTTTATGCCATGATGTCAAACTGTCCAGCACCTTGTCTATCGGTCTCCCCCCACCTTTCTTCCCCTCAAGTGTCACGATGTATTCCAGTCTTCTTCTTATCACATGACCAACGAATGTAGATTGTCTCTTTCTGATGTGGGCTGTCAGTTCTCTTTGTGTGTCATTTTCTTTCAAGACATCTTCATTACACTTTGTATCTGTCCAGAGTTGTCTTACCATTCGTCTATTAAACCACATCTCCACAGCTTCAAAATCATTCTTCACCAATCTATCAACTGTCCCTGATTCACTTCCGTTTATCAAGATAGGATTTATATAGCGTTTAAGAATTCTCTTCCTTGCCTCAATTGACAAAGAAAGATTGCATCAAATGTTCTTCAGTTTGTAAAATGCTGGCTTTGCTTGAACAATTCAACATTTAACTTTTCTAATACATCTTCTATCTCATGATATCAGGATACCCAAGTACTTCAATATATCAACTTGTTAGAAGTTTGTCCCATTTTGGGAGGTCAGTTTTCAAACTACCATTTCTTATTTTTCTACTGTTCAAACTAAACTTGTTTTCACTTTTTGTTACAATTACATCCATGATTTCTTGCAGTTGTGTTTCATTTTCAGCAATCAAAACTATATCAACAGCATATCACAAGTTGTTAACAGTATGCTCATCAACCGATATTCCTGGCATACCATGTACGGATCTAATTATTATTTCACTGTACAAACTATATAATCGGGTGATAGTACACATCCCTGTCTAACAACCTGTCTAATGTTTTGAAAAGTTCCAACCTGGTTATCAATCCTGCTTCTTGTTGCCTGTATGTTTTTTTAATTCTCAGATCTTTACCTTCAATGTTTAAGGTTTCTAAAATTCTAACAATGTCTTCATGTTTTACTTTACCAAATGCTTTAGGGCAATAAATAAAGCACAAATACAGCCCTCTATTCATGTCAATAATTCTTTCTGAAAGCGTTCTCAAGATAAACATGGCATTGTCTGTGCCTTAACTTCCAACAAAACTACACTGCTTTTCTCCAGTTTCAGGTTTAATTTTACACATTATTCCTCTCATAATAATTCTCATTAATATTTTAGTTATATTTTACTCTTTAAACTAATTGTTCAATGTTTCCCACATTCTATTGCACCAAGTGTTTTTGGTAAAGGTATGAGAAGATATTTCAAAAGGTCATCAGGTATGTGTCCACTTCTATAAACTAAACATCACTGAACAATATTGTGAAAACTTCCAAACACAATTCACTAGCAGTTTTCAATTGTTCGGTCATGATGTTATCTGGCCCTGGAGATTTAAGAGGCTCAGACTCCGTCTGGAGGTGACAGGTTCAATTCCCGGCACGGTAACTATAGCTTTCGATTTTTATGTTCTCTAGTGTGTTCTTCTATCTACTTATTCCTATGAGTGCCCATCAATACACTTTATGTTACTTGATTAATTCATGTGGTTTATAGCATCTTTTACATCCGCTTTCATGATTGGCAGTCCTTCCCAATACTCTCTATGTCTGGTCTACTGTTATCATCATACAGCTCTTTTATATACTCTGTCCATCTTTCAATTACCTTCTCTTTGCCCATTAATATTTCACCTCCTGTTGTTTTCAAGTAAATATTTGCTGTATATTTTCTCAAACCTGATAGTTCTTAGCAGTGTCCATACGGGGCGGTTTGTCCTAGCCATTGTGCGGATAGAGGCATCCTCTGTCTAGCAGAGTTAAAGTGATGACCAGTTCAGAAAACTCATGTGCTCACTACATTTATCCATCACCTGCCTGCCATGATTTCATGTAACCCTGCTGGGGGGGGGGGGGGGGGGGGGGCTAAGCAGGTACTCTACCCCTGCCGACAAGGTAACCCACAGACTAGTAGATGGAAGGAGGCACATTACATCTACAGTTGGTAGGGTTTACCTTACCCCGCTACTCCAAGGAGGCACCTGACATCGCCTGTTGTTAGGGTTTACCTTACCCCGCTACTCCAAGGAGGCACCCGACATCGCCTGTTGCTAGGGTTTACCCTACCCCGCTACTCCAAGGAGGCACCCGACATCGCCTGTTGCTAGGGTTTACCCTACCCCGCTACTCCAAGGAGGCACCCGACATCGCCTGTTGCTAGGGTTTACCCTACCCCGCTACTCCAAGGAGGCACCCGACATCGCCTGTTGCTAGGGTTTACCTTACCCCGCTACTCAAAGGAGGCACCTGACATCGCCTGTTGCTAGGGTTTACCTTACTCCGCTACATTAGCAAAACTGAACACTTGGAGTTTCCAAGAAAATTAAAACTCCAATTTGCAATATTCAGTGTTAAGCTTGTGACATCGCAGTGCATATAAACACATAATGAGTTGACATGCACGCAAGAGAAGCAGCACTGTGTGATCAGTGTTTGACAGTATAACAAGGAATGTATAAAACTACTCACATTCTGCAGGTGGTGGTCAGAAGAGGGGCCCACACTGATCACTTCTATGGCATTGCTCTGGTCAGACTGACCAGTGGTCATGGGGACAAGTTGAGTGGGGACAAAGGTGATGGGGGAGGACATGGTAGGTGATGTACGAGAGATGGTCGGCTGGGGCGATGGCGTCGAAGTGTGCGGGGGCCTTCTCAATGGTGGGCCCATGTCAGACGATGACTTCCTAACGGGAGATTTCTTCCCATCCTTCTCCTGAACAAACAAACAAAACACTGTGCTGTAGTTAACATCAAGTGTGCCCTTTTTAAAATCTCAAGTTTAGTTTCTTCAGGCAATAAAAAGGCAGAGAGAGATCAAGAAAGAAGATGCTGAAAAGTCTGGCCTCATGGTGTGGAAGATGTGTCAGATTTTACTGAAAGAACATTAGACAGAAGGATGTGGATGAGACACAACCACCAACACAGCATGGAATTGACTATAAGAAGATGCACTGAAGCATTAGGAATACAAAACAATAATCAACAATTACATACATGAGATAAAATATTCAAAATACTTTAAGAAAGCAGAAACACTAAAGTAGATAGCATGAATAACTAACAAAACAGACATACTTTAATTATCAGAAACATTGAACTATTAATTTTTACACATGATTTACAAAACAACCAAACTTAAGAAAAATATGACAAACACTTGATGAACACTTTCACAACCACTGGAAATTCTATAAAAGCTAAAATCTATTGTGATGTACTGCTGTTGCTTTATGTGAAACATATTAAAGATAGTCATTTGAAGCATAAGTTTAGCTATCAAGGGAGCTCACTGCAGAGGATACTAACCTTCTCCTAGGAAGAGGTCATGCAACCTGAAAACTTAATGTAAAGGCAAGACAGACCAGGTTTTTAGCCTTGGCTGGCAACTAGTCTAGGAGGCAGGCTCTGAGAGGCAAACAAAGCATTGCTTTTCTGAACTAGCAGCTTCTGCAGCCTGCTTTGTTCCAAACATACATGTGTTACCTTTCCTTTTCAGTAAACAAGACAGGCAGAGCCAGGGGTCATGGTGCATGGGCAACTTATGTTTTACGCAGCACGACCTGGCTTTTAGATGCGATTTTTCTGAAAACAAGCGGATCTTGACAGATAAGCTCACCGTCGCCATGGGCTGTGATTCCAACACTACCCTTTAGCACATCTAACATTATCGTCTGGAAAGATGGAAAGGTGTTACACAAACCAAAAGCTATCAAATCACATGCATCTACTTACTTTCCCTTTTTTAAGAAAACCCCCGTGGCACCTCATGTGTCCATTAAGAGCAGATGCGTTCTTGAAATAGCGGTCACAAGTCGAACAATAAGCCTGGTTCTTTGGGATCTCATCTCTAGTATGGAATAACATTTCAATATCTCACTACTACAATTTGTAGTATGGAATAATATTTCAATTTCTTACTACTACAATGTGTTGTATGGAATAACATTTCAATATTTCACTGCTTCATTTTGTTAATAATTTTTTTTTAAATGTCAATATCTCACTGCTACAATCTGTAGTATGGAATAACAAGTCAATTTCTGATCTGCTGAAATTTGTAATATGCAATATGTCAATAACTCATGGTGCCAATGAGTATTTGCCCTCCTCAGCATCCACCCGCTGTAAACTCAGGGGTAATGTTCTAGTTGCTTGCCTACTTCTGGACTATGATCTTGTTCCAGAGCTTAAGATTTGAGTGTGCAACCGGTTTACAGATCTGGCACATCTGTATGTAGACTCAGTTGCTTGCCTACTTCTGGACTATGATCTTGTTCCAGAGCTTAAGATTTGAGTGCGCAACCGGTTTACAGATCTGGCACATCTGTATGTAGACTCAGTTGCTTGCCTACTTCTGGACTATGATCTTGTTCCAGAGCTTAAGATTTGAGTGCGCAACCGGTTTACAGATCTGGCACATCTGTATGTAGACTCAGTTGCTTGCCTACTTCTGGACTATGATCTTGTTCCAGAGCTTAAGATTTGAGTGCGCAACCGGTTTACAGATCTGGCACATCTGTATGTAGACTCAGTTGCTTGCCTACTTCTGGACTATGATCTTGTTCCAGAGCTTAAGATTTGAGTGCGCAACCGGTTTACAGATCTGGCACATCTGTATGTAGACTCAGTTGCTTGCCTACTTCTGGACTATGATCTTGTTCCAGAGCTTAAGATTTGAGTGCGCAACCGTTTTACAGATCTGGCACATCTGTATGTAGACTCAGTTGCTTGCCTCACAGGCAAATGCATTCTGACCTGGTAGGAAACACCCCTAATTAGTTGTTATTTTACAACAGGCCTGTCAGAAGGCAGTGAGTGTATTCAGCCTCAAGAGACAAATCTCTAAATTATCTTCTTCTTCTTCAGCATTCTGAGCAGACAAACATGGTGATGTCATAACGAGTCTAAAGATGACTGCCCCCCCTTTTGACATGTACCAGAGAGGAGCAATGTTCTTTTATCCAATTTGGTGACTGTAAAAAGCGGGGCAATCATCTTCAGACTGGCATTATGATGTCACTGTTTTTCTGCACATCCTTAACAACAACGGGAGTCACCGTGGCGTAGCGGCTAGAGTGGGAGTTTGTGGGTTTGCTCACTGGTGGAGCCGGACTATTTTCAAAAGAAGAGCAGCAGCATGTGCAGTCTCGGGCAGAAGCAAGTTAAGAAAGAACTTATTTATTACAGACATTATCTGAGATCAGGCAGCCGCCATTGTCTAGACGCTAGAAGCTCACCTGTGGATCGAAAAAGTCAGGGGTTCGGGCTCTGACAGGGGCCAAACTTTTTTCACAAAATGTCCCTGGATGTCATAATTTGTCTTCTTTATCATGGTATTCAGAGAATCTTTTTATAGCATTTCAGCTCACAGGCAGCCCCTTACAGGCAGCCCCTTACAGGCAGCCCCTCACAAGCAGCCCCTCACAGGCAGCCCCTCACAGGCAGCCCCTCACAAGCAGCCCCTCACAGGCAGCCCCTCACAAGCAGCCCCTCACAGGCAGCCCCTCACAGGCAGCCCCTCACAAGCAGCCCCTCACAGGCAGCCCCTCACAAGCAGCCCCTCACAGGCAGCCCCTCACAGGCAGCCCCTCACAAGCAGCCCCTCACAGGCAGCCCCTCACAGGCAGCCCCTCACAGGCAGCCCCTTTATGTTCCTTACGGACTGAGAGAAAGTCCACAGCTCACATCCGTATGTTGCTGCAGGGAAGATGCACAATCTCAAAATTGTTACTTTCATTTCCCTTGCTGGGGCTAAACCACATACATTTGTGCTGTTTATTCTTGGTTTTGTATTCTAGGAAATTTCTGGAGGTCAAAATAAATCAAAACTAACACTAAACTTAAAATTGTTAACTCTCATGTCAAATCAGTAGTGCTGCTGTATGGAGTGAAAACATGGAAAACAACTAAAGCAATTACCAATAAACTACAAACATTCATTAACTGCTGCCAGTGCAGAATAGCGGGAAATGAAACGATATGAAAGAATCACTAATGTAGAGCTTTGGGAGAGAACTAATCAAGTTCCAGTGGACTAAGAGGTGAAGAAACGATGCTGCCATTAGACAGCACACAGGTTAAGAAAACCTAAGAACTGGAACCCACAGAGACAAAGAAATAAAGGCAGACCCCAAAAAAACAAAAACATGGAGAAAGGAACTAGAGAGTTAAAAAGGCAGGGAATGAGTGGAGTGAGCTGCATGCAGCAGCAAATGATTGAACGACTTGGCGTGAGTTAATTGAGGGCCTACACCATTGAACAATCTCTGCTGCATTTTATTATGGAACCTAGATATTCAAAGTTTGTGTGACTTTTTAATTTCTTCATCACTTTTTGTTATCTTTGGCTGACAGTCAGTTTTATTTGAGAAAATAAAGATATGACTTACATTTTTGATGTGATTGAGGTGTCTGGTGAACTGCTGTACCAGATGGCACGGGTGGTTGGGTTAGTCAGCGGGCTGACCGGCTGAGAGGTTGCCGGAGAGACTGGGCTGCGTGCTGCCATCTCTGAGGGCACATGCATGCCTCCTGGAGACTGGTCACTGTGGGAAGCCGGGGACAGCTCACTGGAGGTTGGGGTTCCCACAAATGTGTAAACCTGGTGAAAAGCCGACAGTGGAATTGATAAATCAAACCTGGACTAAACTTCGCTGTTCATTCAAAGATGTAATTGTGTTGCGACCGTTTACAGCTGGGCTGCGATATCCGCGCCCTTCATCAAACACATTCAACTTATGCGGGCATTTGTTAACTGGGTTAGCCTTATTAGTCAGTCTCATGAGACACTGCAGTCTCACTGTTGTGTGATCACCTTTGTGTCCCATCACAGGTGGTGCCCCAAATCAGGTGGGCCCAGAGAAGCCACGTAATCAGCCCTCAAGAGAAGGCAGGGGCAGAACATGACCATTCCCCGCCATCCAAGGAGGCTTCCACAAATGTAGAGCCAATCCATGGTGCTCTGGTACCGGGCTCACCCAAGGAATCATCACTGGGATTTAAATCTGGACAAAACCAACTTCAACTGCCTGTAGGTTTCATTTTTCAGGTGACATAGGGTTGCGGGAAGCTGAGGAGATGTGGTTTTAAAGATGATTGAGAACACTGGCGTACATTGTGACAGTGGGAAAGTTGGAGGGGAAGACAGACAAAGGAGGACAGAGAGAGAGAGAGAGAGAGAGAGGGAGAGAGGATGCTGGACGTGTTAACATCATGGCATGGAAGATCATCTGCATCAGACCTGAAAAGTTGGAGGGGAAGACAAAGGAGGACCGAGAGAGAGAGAGAGAGAGAGAATGCTGGACAGTTTAAAATCGTGGCATGGAAGATCATCTGCATCAGACCAGAAAAGTTGGAGGGGAAGACAAAGGAGGACCGAGAGAGAGAGAGAGAGAGGATGCTGGACGTGTTAACATCACGGCATGGCAGATCATCTGCATCAGACCTGAAAAGTTGGAGGGGAAGACAAAGGAGGACCGAGAGAGAGAGAATGCTGGACAGTTTAAAATCGTGGCATGGAAGATCATCTGCATCAGACCTGAAAAGTTGGAGGGGAAGACAAAGGAAGACAGAGAGAGAGAGAGAGAGAGAGAGAGAATGCTGGACAGTTTAAAATCATGACATGGAAGATCATCTGTGTCAGACTTGACCTACCAGACAGAAGACTGTGGACAGACCTGACTACCAACGGCACAAGAAGGACCGAGGCCTGAGCCTTACGATTTTACCCTGGTGCCCTAGAAACGCTTATAACTAAGGCAGCAACCCACAGGTACACCCCCCCCCCCCCCCCCCAATCATATTTTTTTAAAACAATGATTAGTTGGCGTCTATGGCGTAGGCATTGCGAACGCACTTTGTAATGCCGGGGTGCCGGGTTCGATCCCAGCTCGACAGCGGTATCGAGAAGCCAACCGTCCAGAACGCAATGGCAAACTACTGGATGTAAACGTGCCTAGAAAAAACAGCCCACAAATGCTGGAGTTAGTTCTGCAATGTCCTGTAAATGATAAGCAGCTAACTAAACAATCATTTGACACAGGCCACTCATCAATTTGAAGAGGGGGGAAAAAATCACTTGTACCAGAATGTTTAATAAAGAGAGTAGATGAAATACTTTCCCAGGGGTCTTCCTAAATATAGAGGGTGACTCACACAGTAACCCCCTTGGCCTCATCAGATTTCTAACCACACGGTACAAGAGGATCACGATCAGATGATGATGATGATGAGATGAGTACGATGAGATGATGACAATGAGAAGATGATGAGATGAGGATGATGATGATGATGAGTACGACGAGATGATGACAATGAGATGACTCTTCTTGACAGTGATCTGTAGCATACAAATGTCCATGTGAAAACCTGAACATACCCCAGCTTTATCTTGCCAGGAAGTAGATTCCTGAGCCATCGCGACCATTGATTCTATATCTGTAGCTGATGCCGCAGCAGCTGCCTTCTTCTTCTGCACATCTAACTGCTGCTGGACTTGTTGGATCACAGCCAAAACATCAGGCTGCTGTTGGTTCTGCTGCTGCTTAAGTTGTAGTTGAAGGTGAAGATGTTGCGACACAGCATCGCTGGCTTGAAGATTATGCTCTTTAGCTTTCTGCAAGAACAAGGAGGCTGCAACTGTTACCCAAGGAAGTGAGTACAAAGTAAACAGAGTAAGGTACACAGCCTTGTGTTGAGCAGTGAACTATCTTCACCAGGTCACTCTTGAAGGAAGGAACAGGTGGCCTAGGGAAATCAGAGTGTCTGCCTAGTACATAATAGGACACCCATATACTTTTTGTTCGGCTTTATATCTTTCCTTCACATTGATTTCAATACAGTTTAGCCACAGTATGGTACTGTTTTAAAAAGTCTTTTTGATGCGAGTGTGGGGTGACTCTCAAATCCTTCACAAAATGAAATGCTTGGTCCTGGGTTTAGATCATCAGAACTGCTTGATTCTCTAACTGTTGACCTCTCAGCTGTTGCTGGTGTCAAATCACTGTCCAATTACTTCCCGAAAAATTCAAGTTTTCATTATCATAATCAGAATTAAAAACATCCGACTGAAACAATTTCACAGCCTTTAGCCGCAGAAAGCTGCATTTGGCAGCCTGTACTTGTGTTCGGTACACTGGTATCCATGGTCAGTCATGACGCAATTAGAAAATTCAGTGTCTGGAAATGGCACTAGCAATGAATTGGATAAATGTGCGCCTAAATGTATACATGTTGGACACAGGATCGACACAGACGGTGGTTGAGACAAACTGAAATTTCTCAATCATGGCATACAGCGTTGCTCTGGCCCAAAAGGTTACATGACTTTTCTGAACTTGTAAATTGCCAAAACTCTGTGAATGTGACATTAAACCTAAATATATCTCAAGATGTGTTACGAATCTTGGTAAAGATACGGAGAAAGGAAACAGGCTTCTCATGTCATAAAACTGTCGTATTTACAAGTATAGAGGTCAGTATTTCACTTCCTGGTTTGAGAGTCACACAAAAATGTCGAATGTTCACTGCTCAACTGTCGCAACTAAACGTTTTTAAACATCAAACATGTAGCATAACTTCACCAATAGTGCACAGAAAGCATTTGCTCTGACAGCAGTACCTTGCCTGACAGCAGTATCTTGCCGGACAGCAGTACCTTGCCTGACAGCAGTACCTTGCCTGACAGCAGTACCTTGCCTGACAGCAGTACCTTGCCTGACAGCAGTACCTTGCCTGACAGCAGTACCTTGCCTGAAAGCAGTACCTTGCCTGACAGCAGTACCTTGCCTGACACAAGTACCTTGCCTGACAGCAGTACCTTGCCTGACAGCAATACCTTGCCTGACACCAGTACCTTGCCTGACACCAGTACCTTGCCTGACACCAGTACCTTGCCTGACAGCAATACCTTGCCTGGCACCAGTACATTGCCTGACACCAGTACCTTGCCTGACAGCAGTACCTTCCCTGACAGCAGTATCTTGCCTGACACCAGTACCTTGCCTGACAGAAGTACCTTGCCTGACACCAGTACCTCACTCTGACAGCAGTACCTTGCCTGACAGCAGTACCTTGCCTGACACCAGTACCTTGCCTGACAGCAGTACCTTGCCTGACAGCAGTACCTTGCCTGACACCAGTACCTTGCCTGACAGCAGTACCTTGCTTGACGGGCAATGGCATTATAGAAAAAGTTTAAAGAGGCGCAGGAAGAGGAATAGGAAGAGGGTTTGGGGAAAAAAAGAACGAATAAATATATGAACTCTTTCCTTTTTTTTTAAGTGTTAAGCTGTGAGCTAGATTAACTTCATTGCACTCAGGACACACCCATAGGTGCTCAGATTTCCCCTTCAACACAGACATCTGCGTCCCACGGTTAATACTGCCGGCCCTATGCTGGCTAACAACACTTCTCGCACATCCAGTGTGCATCCTATGTTCAGCTGTGCCAGTCTTTACTCCCAATTCTCATTCTTAGCAGCGTTAATAATGTCGACATGATCCACAAGATGGCCATCTGTCTGCAAAACAACACCCACATATGACTGGTTTCAGAACTGAAAAGTAGATCAACTGTAACATTCCATCCTTCGCACCCTTCCGACATGGTAATCAGGTAATCGCAGTGTCCAACTGTAAACAGGTCCTTGCATTGGAACCAACAGGTACAAAGAAAAAAGACAGATCATGACAACGTTACTGAAACTTCAAGAGGAAATAAGTGCCTTTGGAAGGATGAGGCAAATCTTGAAATCCAACAATTACTGCAGAGGAACGAAACTCCCGACTCTACAAGAGAATCATTTTGCCAGTTCTTCTTTATGGAGCAGAATGCTGGAGAATGACCAAAAAGGATGCACACAAGCTGTCCACCTTCCACCACACATGTCTACGTAGAATGATCAAAATTTTCTGGCCAGATACAATCTAAAACACTAAACTACTTCAAGTCACAAACCAAGAAACTCTAGACAGTATGATAAGCAAGAGAAGATGGAAATGGCTTGGCCACGTTATGAGAATGAATCCTGATATACCTGCCAAAACAGCTCTCACATGGACACCAGAGGGAAAGAGAAAACAGGGGCGCCCAAAAACAACATGGAGACAAACGATGGAAAGTGACCTGAGTGTTGCATCTTTGACATGGAAAACTGCACTGAAGATTGCACAGGACAGGAAAGCACGGAAAGTCGTCTCTGAAGCCTCATGTGCCACTTGGCAAAATGAGAACTGATAACAAAGGAGGTAAAGTGAAAAACTTGGAGGAAGGCATGGAGTGAGCTACATGCAACAGCAAAGCAATAGGATCACCTAGCATTAAATTGAGGATCTTTGCTCTAATGGAAGATAAAGGCATTTAAAAAAAAAAAAAGAAAGCAAGACCCCAAAACATATACTGTGTTTAGAAAACTGTTATACTTTATGCTCAGCACCAGAACAGAATGCCAGAGGTGACAAACAGAAACAGGTTTACCTCCTCCTGCTGTTGTTGTTGTTGCTGTTTCTGCTGTTGGAGCAGGAGTTTCTGCTGTTGGTGGATCTGTTGGACCAGAATCTCGTGTGGCTGTTTCTGCTGTTGTTGTTGCTGGCTATTTTTGGTTTGTTGTGCGTCAAAGTGGAAAACATTCCCAGCCTAGAAACAGTACAGCAAAACACATCTGAAATACTGGACAAAATCACTGAAAGCAGCCAAAGTGTCAGATAACAGACGAACAGCCAAAGTGTCAAATACTAGACAAGGTATCAAAGTGTCAAATACTAGAAAATGGGTCACAAGAATTTTTTGGTATTAAAATTCGAAAAAAGTATCAAAGGTTGCTGTCACATAAATTGTTACCTTTACTTATGACAGCAGAATTTATATAAGACAACAAATTTTATGTAAGACATCAGACAGTAGTAAGAATTCATCTTCTTCTTCTCTAGTCCTGTTCTACCTTTCAGCATCAGGTTTTGAACAGCCACCTGGTGCCAGCCTGGGTATATGCTACGTAAATGCTGGTGTTTATGGCCTTGAATAGTCCATCTATTCACAATTGTGTGGTCCGCCTCTAGGACTACTGTAATTGCTTCTAAGTGACAGAGCTCTCTGTCAGCCCTATCTTGTGGTAGTCTGGTTACTCTTCCCTTGTCTTCATCTCTCCTACTAGGTCCGCTTGTTTATTTGCAATGCCAGAAAAATTTATTGTGCAGATTTTAATTGCCTTTCTGTCTCCTACTGTTAGTCCATTAACAGTCAGTGACCATTTTCTGCAAAGATCAGTCTAATTTCTCTTCTCACTGTTTTATCAAGTTAGCTTTAATCTAATGCCGACTTGCTAGGCCTGTAGCAGTTTCAGGGTATATTTAACTTGATGCACCCCATCCACCCGACTTGGACAGCTGGAGCCCTATTAGCCGGAGACTTCAAGGCCTTAGATTAGCGATGTGCAGCGCTTGGAGGTCAGGTCGGTTTGGGTGTCCTATGGGTCGATGGCAGGTTATTAACTGTTATATAAGACAACAGACTAACAAAACAAAATACAAACTGCAATTTAACAATACATATCCAAAAAGAGTGCAATGGAGAGGGCATCAACAACACACTTCAGTATCTGCCAAAGGAAGACAGGGCGCCTCTAGGTATGTCTCAACCCCAGGATGCTGTTTCTGATCATCAAATATCACGATGTGCTCGCCAGATAACACAGGCATGTGTTTCCATTGTGTCCCAGTTCTCTTGAAGACAATCCTCTGTGCCATTGTCTTAGATGTCCAGCATCAGGTCCCTGGTGCTGCCTTTGCTACCACTGCTCTTTCCAGTCATTATAATGTTCCCTAAAATCTATTTAAATATCATAAGACCCTGTGTGGGTGCCAGGGCCTCATCTTGGGGGGAAAAGGAGACATCACTGCAACCTAACAAGTATGTCATACTAGGTGACTATTCAGGAGTCTGCTGCAGTGGAATGATGGGCCAAAAGGTGTAGATGTTGCAGCCTAGCTATAGACTACAGCAAAGTGTTCAAACCACCCTTTTTAACATAGAAGATAAAGATGTGATCAAAGAACTACTACTTTCTCATAGTTGCATACAATGTTTAACTTTCATTAGCTTTTTTCTAGGCAATCATTGCTTATATTGCTTAATAGCGCAGTTAACAGGAATCTCGCTTTCAAATCCAGCTGCGGCTACCTGCAGCCCATGGCCGATGTTCGAAACCAGTCGGTTTCCGGAGTTCACCCAGCCTCTAGAAAATGGGTACCAGAGTAAACACTTTGGGGTAAACAGAGGAACGTTGCTGCAGCTACAGAGTTTGATACGGCCAGCGACACAGGCGGACAGTTTCCTATCAGCTGTCCGTACTGGTGGCAGAGCACTTATGGTTTATAACCGTGTGCAATGACACTGGTTCACATCTCCCCACTTTACCTTGTAATTTTATTCATTAAAAAAAATTTTTTTTTTTTTTTATAAAATAACTAATAACAGTTGATAGATTACCCCAGAGGCACCTGGGCTAGGTGTCGGCGTGGCTGACCCAGGACTGTACACAGGTGAACTGAGGTGCTTGCTCCGGCCCTCCCCAGATTTTTTGCTTCCATTGCGTGGGGCTGGAGGGGAGATCCCTGCCGCTGCCATACTGGCCTGGACGTGGCTCTGCACAGTATCTGGGTCAAGATGGTGGTGCTGTTCCAGATGTCGTCGCAAAGATCTGGCGTCACAGTAGCCCTTGTCACAGTTTGGAAGTTGGCACTCGTACGGCTTCTTGTCTAAGTGGGTCATCAGGTGACCATTGCTGAGAATAATAATAACCATGCAAGTCAACAAGGAACGTATGCACGCTTGATTAATTAAACACATCAGTAGAATTGTGCACTGCATCTGTAAATCTGTTCACTATAAATGCAAGCACACCATAATTTTTTTTTTTTAACTGCGAACTATATTTGCAACATCAATAAACATATTTCTATCAGTTCTTCTATGTATGCCTTAAAAGGGTAGCTGCCATTTTGCGGTTTACAACTAGGCTGTAATATATGCACCTACTGCTCCAACACATCTAATTTCAGCAAATACTTCATCAGTCATCTTTTACAAAATGTTTGTTAATGGGCAGTGGGAGTATCCCTTTTTCTGCAAAATGGAGGCAGAGGTCATAGCTGTCCATGTCTGGCGATTCGTTGCCACCTGCTTTAGATCTTGAATGTTTGTCAGGCCCATGAGTAAATGAAATGGCACATTGACAAATGCATTCAAAATAGCAAATATAGCCACATCAATAAATGTGTATCATACATCTATTTAGACAGCAATTAAGATAAACATGGAGAAACAGAACAGGTTTCTAGAACAGGAGACACCATATGACAGGATGAGTTGCATTGAAAATGCAGCAGGGAAAAATTAGAAAAGACGAGAGTGACCAACAAAGGACTAAGAAAAATAGGAGCAACAGTCCAGGTGAATGATTTCACATAACATCAAAGAATCAAATGGTTTGGTTATCTGGTCAGAATTGAACAAATTTAGCCAGCATCTAGAGTGTACTACATTAGAACGGCAGGCTTCAAGTCAAGAGGTCGACCAAGAAAGAGATGGGTGTATGGGGTAGAAGAAACACTACAGAAATGCAATATGACATTAACACAAGAAGCTAAGCAACCAGCAAAAGACAGGACATTACATTTAACTCCTCTCTATGATTATTTACGGCCAAAGCAGTCAGACAAAACAAGAAGACATAAATAACAGGATGTTTAATGTTAAATAGTTCATTAAGAATTGACGTCGCAGTACTCAGGACATCTTCAGCACAAAGTCCAGAGATAGTTTTGTAACAGTTTGAGTGTGTATCATCTTGTCTTTTCCTTGAGTGTCAGTTAGATCCCTTGGTCGCTCCCTGCAGCGCCATTCTCAGACCATGATGATCCATCTGTGACTATGCACTGTTCACTCAATCAATACAGGACCCTTACAACATCTAGCCAAATAACAGCAAGAATTCAATAAATAAGAAGATACTCAGTCAATGTGCCACTATATAACAACTCAGTCAATGTGCGACTATATAACAACTCAGTCAATGTGCCACTATATAACAACTCAGTCAATGTGCCACTATATAACAACTCAGTCAATGTGCCACTATATAACAACTCAGTCAATGTGCCACTATATAACAACTCAGTCAATGTGCCACTATATAACAACTCAGTCAATGTGCCACTATATAATAACTCAGTCAATGTGCCACTATATAACAACTCAGTCAATGTGCCACTATATAACAACTCAGTCAATGTGCGACTATATAACAAATCAGTCAATGTGCGACTATATAACAGTCAATGTGCGACTATATAACAACTCAGTCAATGGGCGACTATATAACAACTAAGTCAATGTGCGACTATATAACAACTCAGTCAATGTGCGACTATATAACAACTCAGTCAATGTGCGACTGCATAATAAAGTCCCTAGAATGTGCTACTCACAGATGATCCTGTCGTTTGAAGCCCTTGGAGCAGATGTTGCAGACATACTTGCGTTCATCAGAATGAGTCAGTCGATGTTTGGACAAGGCGTTAATATTGCTGAAAGTCTTCCCACACAGTGGGCACTGTGAGGGCCCACACTTCTGTCCTGCAAGCTCCGGACTTTGTGCCGTGGAGGAGCTTTTCTTGGCTGTCAGTTTTATTGTGCTGTCAAGCAAGGAGTCGCCGTGCTGCTGAATTAAACCTGGATCAAACATAATTAACACTGGGTGAAAACAGTAATTAACTGGGTGAAAACAGTAATTAAACCTGGGTGAAAACATTAATTAACTGGAGGGAAATAGTAATTAACTGGGTGAAAACAGTGATTAACTGGGTGAAAACAGTAATTAACTGCGTGAAAACAGTAATTAAGTGGGTGAAAACAGTAATTAAATGGGTAAAAACAGTAATTAAGTAGGTGAAAACAGTAATTAACTGGGTGAAAACAGAAATGAACTTGAGTGAAAATAATTAAACCTAGGTGAAAACAGAATTAAACCTAGGTGGAAAAAAGTCATTATCTGGGTGAAAACAGTCATTAACTGGGTGAAAACAGAAATTAACCTGGGTGAAAACAGAAATTAACCTGGGTGAAAACAGAAATTAACCTGGGTGAAAACAGTCATTAACTGAGTGAAAACAAAAATTAACTTGGGTGAAAACAGAAATTAACCTGGGTGAAAACAGAAATAAACCTAGGTGAAAACAGAAATTAACCTGGGTGAAAACAAAAATTAAGCTGGGTGAAAACAGAAATTAACCTGGGTGAAAACAGAAATTAACCTGGGTGAAAACAGAAATTAACCTGGGTGAAAACTGAAATTAACCTGGGTAAAAACAGAAATTAACCTGGGTGAAAACAGAAATTAACCTGGGTGAAAACAGTCATTAACTGGGTGAAAACAGAAATTAACCTGGGTGAAAACAGAAATTAACCTGGGTGAAAACAGAAATAAACCTAGGTGAAAACAGAAATTAACCTGGGTGAAAACAAAAATTAACCTGGGTGAAAACAGAAATTAACCTGGGTGAAAACAGAAATTAACCTGGGTGAAAACAGAAATTAACCTGGGTGAAAACAGTCATTAACTGGGTGAAAACAGAAATGAACTTGAGTGAAAACAGAAATTAACCTGGGTGAAAACAGAAATAAACATAGGTGAAAACCATTATTAAGCTCTGGTGAAAACTTAAACGGGACCTGCAGTAGCATAGGTGCTAGACGCACATTAGCCAACCATGAGGCACAGGGTTCAAATCTGCACTGAGAGTTTGTTAAACTGGCAGGCTGACCCAGTCTAAAACAGGTGTCAGGTGATTCATGAGAAGTCAAAGAGGTAAAACAGGTGTCAGGTGTTTTATGAGAAGTCAAAGAGGTAAAGCAGGTGTCAGGTGATTCATGAGAAGTCAAAGAGGTAAAACAGGTGTCAGGTGATTCACGAGGTGTCAGGTGATTCATGAGAAGTCAAAGAGGTAAAACAGGTGTCAGGTGATTCATGAGAAGTCAAAGAGGTAAAACAGGTGTCAGGTGATTCATGAGAAGTCAAAGAGGTAAAACAGGTGTCAGGTGATTCATGAGAAGTCAAAGAGGTAAAACAGGTGTCAGGTGATTCATGAGAAGTCAAAGAGGCCAGTGTGATGCTGACCATATCACAAATCGAGTGCCCACTGGTCTACAAAACTACAAGTGTAGCCCTCTACACCAGATGTTCCAAAAGCATAAAAAAAAGTTCCTTTATTTTTGCTTAGAAAACAGGGAACTGAATGAACTACACTTGACAAGATGTCATAACTTCTTCTTCTTCTGTCCTACCGCTAATGCCGTAATGCCTCACAGAGAGGAGTCAGATATAGTTTCCTGCCTGTTGCTAGTGGCGTTGATGTCATACTGTGTTTCTGTGGTGTCTATTGTATTCCCTCCAACCATCTTTTTCTTGGTTACCCTCTTGCCTTGTAGCCTGCAGTTCTCATAAAGTACGCTCTAGCTGCTGGCTGATTTTGTTCATTCTGACAAGATGACCAAACCATTTGATTCTTTGAGGTTCAATGAAATCATTGGTACTGTGCCTGGCACTGTTCTTACTTCTTCGATGGTGACTCTGCTTTTTCTTGTTTTTCTCGTTGCTTTTTCTTTTACATCTCATCTCATGACAGGTCTTTAACATCTGTATTCAAAAATGATACCACTTCCACAGTGGAGGGTGGCTGGCTGCAGTACACTACCGTCCTTGGGAACACTGAGTGGTCAGGCCCTGATCTCTTCTTCTATGTCTCTCATTGCTGGCAACGCTGCATTTATTTTTATTAGGTGGCTCAGCCAGTTCAGTCTGTGTTTCTCTGTGAACTTAATAATAATAGACACTGTTCCAATAGTTTTTGTTATCTACTCATTTGTTACTTGAACTCTTCCGGTTCAAGGATGGGTTTCTGAAGGGGTTCAGAAAAACATACATCAGCTGAAGCCAACAAATGCAAGTTGAGTTTGGCTGGTATTAAATGAATTATCAAACTGTGCAGAAAGAATAAAATATGTCAGTGAAAACATAATATTTGTTTTTCATTTATTAAAAAGAAAGAAACAACTAAAAAAGAATAGCTGACAGCTTTACCTGTGTCCATCACTCCTGTTGTGTCGGGCATAAGACCACTGTCTGAGAATGGCTGAGGCGACAGTGACAAATTATCCGTGACCTCGCCATCAAACAGGTCAAACGAGGTCCCGCCGGTGCCATCGCCCAGCCTCATTCCCTGACCAGCAGAGCCTAGACTGGACAACAGGCCGTCGTCAAAGTGAGCCAGGCCCGAGGAAGAGGTGGAGTCAAATGCAGAATCCCCGAGCATTTCTGAATCGTTGAAATTAAGACTACTGACCGCACTGAGCATTTTGTCCCCACCCCTGACCACGGACTGGAATTGCAGACTGGACTGGTTGGCCTGGGATGTGATGATGGGACTGACCGGTCCCTGGATCTGGACCCCATCAGTCGTAACAATGATATTTATCGGTGACTTTGATTCCTTTTTTATCATGGCGTCCGATGAATTTAGAAAGCTGCCGTCAGACATCCTATAGAGACCGGCATCTGACAAGCTGTTAATGGGTAAATTAATTGAAGACACCAGATAATCGTCAGATGTTGAAAAAGCTATGTTTGGCTGGTACCCGTTAAAAGCTGAAAATGTCAGTGGGATGTCAATCAAACCCAAACCACCGTTATGGTTGTCGGGTGCTACCGAGGACATGAAATTGGAAAAGAACGTCTGCCCGTTCAAACCAACTGCAAGAGGCGATGCCTGACTGCCTGCCCCAGCCATGTGCTGGCCATCCATCTCTCTGATCTGTCAGACTTCCGCTGCATGTGTCTGTCCAATACCTGACCAACCATGTCCCTAACTATTATGCAGAATGGAGGTTCAATGCTTCGACAAGCTTGCAACTACATGGTCAACCTTTGGTATCTGAAAGTTTTAAAACACAGAACTTGTTAATTATACAATGAGTTAATCTCAGTTAAATATCTGACAAAATAACATTTTGTATGTCAATCAGGTGCCACCTACACCAAGAAGATTGACCAAACGAATCTATATTTTATGTCTCTCACTGTGGCTGTACCCTTGGACAATCTGCCAGTCATCCATCTCGGACGTTATTTCCCCACTGTCCATCTCTGCTCGCCAGCCTTCTACTTTTCTCCCTCTAGTATCACTTTAACAAGAGTTGGTTGATTTTAAGGCTAGACAAGGTGCATCTCTCTCTCTATATACAATTTTTTTCAGCCCTCTAGTAAACAGGTCTAGTCTTGCCTCATCATCAGGTGCCTTGCCGACTGGCGTGGGCGATCATGCCTCTCCATAATTTGCGATCTCCTGCAGCATGTATCAGTTCGTGTGCCTACACACCCCCATGCCATGCAACAAGACTGTCAAGCATCTTCTCTCGTTGTCTTCCTCTATCTCTCGTTCCACATATCTTTCCAGTGGTCACAACATGTTCTTTTTCCCCTCTTCTTATAACATGGCCGAAAAATGATGACTGTCTCCTTCGGATGTCTGTGCTTACCCTCCACTAATGACAGGGTCTAGTCTTGCATACCTCCACTAATGACAGGGTCTAGTCTTGCATACCTCCACTAATGACAGGGTCTAGTCTTGCATACCTCCACTGATGACAGGGTCTAGTCTTGCATACCTCCACTGATGACAGGGTCTAGTCTTGCATACCTCCACTGATGACAGGGTCTAGTCTAGCATACCTCCACTGATGACAGGGTCTAGTCTTGCTCCACTAACGGTAGGGCAGTCTTGCCAACCCTCCACTACAGACGGGAGTTAGTCTTTACAACCATAACAGTGCAACAACATCCCCATGTGGTTCCGGGGTCCCACTATGGGGAAAACAAGAACAGACCCACTGCCCCCCCCCCCCTCCAACAAGCATGTCATTAGAGCCAACTCAGTGGGAGCTTCCTTCAAAGTCAGAGTGCATTTGCCTGAGAGGCAAGAAACCAACAATCTGTATACAGAAAAGTCAGGTGTGTAAAACAGATGTGCCAGCAACACTCAGGTTCTGGAACAAGACCAAAGCCCAGTCCAGAGGTGGGCAAGTAGCCAGAACTTTCTGCTGGAGTTGACAGCCAGGGAACATAGGGAAGTTCAACAATCAACCCAGAATCCCAACATGGGAATTCAAAATATTTCTGGCAAAGAATGACGACAAGGAAGGAAGTCTCACCTCATTAAACAGTGACCTATTATGTGCGAGGCACGACATTCTCTGACTTATGGCCTTACCTGTGGTATAACTACTCTATTATAGCTTTGAAAGCAGCCACTAAGTAGAAACCCTTAGCAAGAACATCTGCACTCCCAATTAAACGAGCCTGATTTTTGTTTTACTGACCTGTGCTTGCAGGTCAGCCTGGCATAAAATGGGAATGAGTAAAATGTTCTGTAAAGAGAGAGATCTTTACTTCCCTGCGACACTTCCAAGACACCACTTTGGGGAAAACTAACAGACCCATTCCCCCTCCCCCACCCCCAACAAGCATGTCGTAAAAGGTAACTAACTGGAGATTTGCTAAATGTGAATGCGTTTGGCAAAAAGGCACAGACTTCACAGTTTAGTAAATCCAAACACAGTGTGATAACTGTCCTTGTCAGGACTAATGTAGAAGAAGAAGACATTCATGATAATGAAATTACCCATTAAGTGCCGATTGGTTTAACATGATTCAAAGAGTGAACAACAGCCATTTTCTCTGTTGTAATTATCTCAATCATGCACAGTTGGACAATCTATGAATAAACTATTTGGAAGCAGCAAAGATGTTTCATAGACGAATCATTAGAGTATCCTGGACAGATAAACAGAATCATGAAGACGCCTTGAAATAAACTCACTAACGAAGATAACGGAGCGCCCATATCAGAAGGAGACAACCAACATTCTTTGGTCATTCTACGAGAAGGAGAAAACTGGAGTACATCGTGACAGTGGGAAAGTTGGAGGGTAGAAGAGGCAGAGGGAGACCAACAGAGAAGATGCTGGACAGTTTGACATCATGGTCACAACTGACTGGAAGTACACAAGACAGAAGGTTGAGGATTCATGTGAATACCAATGTAAAACAGCCTGAGCTAAAAAAAAAATTATATGAAGTAAAATACAGAGGGCACTGTCCAACAATATTTATAAATCTAAACTGCAGTTACCTGGAGTCTGCTAGTGATTAGACTAGGCTATTTAAGTAGTAGAGGAGAGAAATGACACTGTCCAACAATATTTATATATCTATACTACACAGTTACCTGGAGTCTGCTAGAGGTTAGACTAGGCTATTTAAGTAGTAGAGGAGAGAAATGACACTATCTAACAATATATATATATCTATATTACACAGTTACCTGGAGTCTGCTAGAGGTTAGACTATGCTATTTAATTAGTAGAGGAGAGAAATGACACTGTCCGACAATATTTATATATGTATACTACACAGTTACCTTGAGTCTGCTAGGGGTTAGATTAAGCTATTTAAGTAGTAGAGGAGAGAAATGACACTGTCCAACAATATTTATATATCTAAACAACACAGTTACCTGGAGTCTGCTAGGGGTTAGATTAAGCTATTTAAGTAGTAGAGGAGAGAAATGACACTGTCCAACAATATTTATATATCTAAACAACACAGTTACCTGGAGTCTGCTAGGGGTTAGATTATGCTATTCAAGTAGTAAAGGAGAGAAATGACACTGTCCAACAATATTTTTATATCTATGCTTCAGTTACCTGGAGTCTGCTAGAGGTTAGACTAGGCTATTTAAGTAGTAGAGGAGAGAAATGACACTGTCCAAAAATATTTATATATCTATATTACAGTTACCTGGAGTCTGCTAGGGGTTAGACTAGGCTATCTACTTATTTAGATGAGATATATGATAGCAGCCGGGTTTTTTTTCCCTAGGAGAAAAAGGTAGCAGTACTCACCACCAAGTGTCTAAAAAAGGCTGCAGTACTCAGCACAAAGTGTCTAAAAAAGGCTGCAGTACTCAGCACAAAGTGTCTAAAGAAAAAGGCTGCAGTACTCAGCACAAAGTTTCTAAAAAAGGCTGCAGTACTCAGCACAAAGTGTCTAAAAAAAGGCTGCAGTACTCAGCACAAAGTGTCTAAAAAAAGGCTGCAGTACTCAGCACAAAGTGTCTAAAAAAGGCTGCAGTACTCAGCACAAAGTATCTAAAAAAGGCTGCAGTACTCAGCACAAAGTGTCTAAAAAAGGCTGCAGTACTCAGCACAAAGTGTCTAAAAAAAGGTACTGGCGCTCACCATAAAGTGTCTAAAAAAGGTGCTAGTACTCACCACAAAGTGTCTATTACTCACCACAAAGTGTCTAAAAAAGGTGCTATTACTCACCACAAAGTGTCTATTTCTCACCACAAAGTGTCTATCATGATAATGGTGCAATAATAATAAAGATGTTTTAAAACAAGGTGCCAGTACTGTGTACCATCTGGGGAAAGCCCGGATATCCAAAATCCAATCACTTGCTTGAAGACAAAGGATTTTTTCTTTTTATTTATTCACTACTTAACTCTTTGAGTCCTAAGGAACGCATTGTGTGCTAATCAGTTACTACCAAGGCGGCCAATCGGCACGTGACACATACTGGCTTTTAATTTACCACTGGCCAAAATAAAAATGCTAAACGGCAATTTTGAATGTTATTTCCTGTTCTTTGTGTTCGATGTTACATGTGTTGACCAGTAGGCTTATTTGGAAACGTGTTTAAAAACATAAAATGTAGCAGGTTTGTCAGCTCTACCAAGTTACTAAGTGTCTGTGTGAAAACAATATGGCCTCTAGGCAGACTTCTTCAAGCATGTCAACATGATTTATGACTGCAGAAGCCTCATATTTGAATGAAATGTATTCATCAGATTTATCCAAAGTTAGACAAAGAAAGTTACAAAGTAGACTTGTTTCAGTCATTGATAAGAGTCAAACTTTCATGAGGGTTAGCTGTGATATATACCTCACGGAAAGCCAATGATAACAAAGTCAGCAGCTACCAGAGAATAAATATTAGTGAAAAAGGCCATTTCCTTCAGTCAGATGTGATTCCCTTATTATCTAGGAACACAGACTATAAAACAAAGTGTTACATAAAGTTTGGCTATCCTATGAAAAACGGGCACAAAATATCCTTACGAGCCTCAGTCACGTGTCAATTGCACACTTCCGGCGACTTAATTTGCGGTTTTCCGGCGACTTAATTTGCGGTTTTCCGGCAATTACCGCCACCGTGATGAGTCTCCCACGCCGCGTGAGCGCTGTGGATTGGGGCTAAACTAGATGGCTAGGACTCACGAGCAAAGCTGCAGGATATGCGGAAGCTGCTGCTCGTGAGTCCTAGCCATCTGGTTTAGCCCCAATCCACGCCGCATGAGCAGCGTGGGGGACTCATGGAGGTGGCCGCAGGAAAACCGCAAATTAAGTCGCCGGAAGTGAGCAATTGACACGTGACTGAGGCTCGTAAGGATATTTTGCGACCACCATCTTTTGTGCCCATTATTCGGGGATAGCCCATTTCTGTAAACATATCGTCTACTTACTAATATTTAACTACTAATGCAATTATTTATTGTAGCAGTATTTTATAATGCACAACAGGCCAATCACCTGTTTGCCTTAAACCACGATTACAAGTAACTACAGAGAGAAAACCGGACACCAGACCTCCGGGACGACCCAGGGTGCGCTGGGAAGACAACATCCGACAGTCCCTGACAGAGGGCTGGAATGGAACAAAGCCAGAAAGAAAACTGCTGATAGA